ATAAAAACCACATGATCATCTCATTAGATGCCAAAAAAGCTTTTGACAAAATACAACATCCCTTCATGATAAAGGTCTTAGAGAGAGCAGGGATACAAGGAACATACCTTAACATAATAAAGGCAATATACAGCAAGCCAACATCAAACTAAATGGAGAGAAACTCACAGAGATCCCACTGAAATCAGGAACAAGACAAGGTTGTCCACTCTCTCCACATCTATTCAATATAGTTCTTAAGGTCCTAGCTAGAGCAATAAGACACCAAAAGGAGATCAAGGGGATACAAATTGGAAAAGAAGAGGTCAAGCTCTCACTATTTGCTGATGATATGATAGTTTACACAAGCAAGCCCAAAAATTCTACCAAGGAACTTCTACAACTCATAAACACTTTCAGTAATGTAGCAGCATACAAAATTAACTCAAAAAAATCAGTAGCCCTCCTGTATACAGATGATAAAAGGGCTGGGGAAGAAATCAGAGAATCAACACCCTTCACAATAGCCACAAATAGCATAAAATATCTCGGAGTAACTCTAACCAAACAAGCAGAAGACTTGTATGACAAGAAATTTAAATCTTTGAAGAAAGAAATTGAAGATAATGGTCCAGAAATAAGGAGAGATTGATGGTATTGTATAGAGATAAGATTGCTAGTGGTCTTGTTGGTAGAAAAGCATACAGAGGGATGGGATTTAGTGCAAAAGTAAGGACAGCTGAGAGACAAAGTCCACTGTACAGACAGCACCATGCATGAGAAATGGGATCACAGGAGGCTACAGAAGTCCTAGATCTCTCCTGTTTTCTCCATGAAATATGAGGCAAAGTCAGATAAGAGTGAGAAGGTATTTGAGACTGGCAGAACAAAAGTCAGTGTGAAATTGCCAGAGAAAGTTTAAGTGAGAGGAGTGAGGAATGCTTCCTGATAGTTCTCTTGATTGTGTCTAAAGTATGATGATTCCAGATAGGCAGCTTTCTCCAGCATGTTCCTCAGGAAAAAAAAAAAGCAGGCATTTCAGCAAAGAACTTGATTATTGCTGTGCTAGGAGACTAGACAAAGTAGCTGTATGCATGGAAGAGGCTGACTGGTGACAGGCCACTGTTTGCACTGGGTATGGCGGGAGATCCTAATGGATGGCCGTAATGAAAAGGAGGAAAGATCAATGCATCATAGATCCTGGGGAAACAAAGTTTGTTGGTGTTGGGGGAGTAGAAGTGAACTGGAAAGGTGGGCAGACAAGGAGGGCAGGATGCTTCCTGTGGTGTTCCATCATATGCATATATACATACATATATATGTTTTTAAATATATAGGTTTTGTCTGACCACTTATGACAGGAAGAACACAGAATTCACACGTCTTCATTACTAATGCTACCTCTTATTTCTTGGATGTGGCTGTTTCCCACTTAGGTTACAGAAAGTTTTACAGAGTCCATTTCCTTCCTTCTCAGACCACCTAACCCAAACCTAACTGTTCTCTCTAAGCCTCTTTACCTCCCTAATCCCAATTCCTTATGGATGGCTGCCCTTGGATGATGCTGGAAACCTTATGATTCCCTTAGCAACAATAAGGGAGTGAGAAAAAGTCAGCATCCTGCATGTGTCTCGTCAGTCCCTAATAGGTCTAGTACGCAGCTCTCCTCCTTGTTGGCTACTGGGTCTTAGATAAAGGGCTGCTAGAAGGGAGCGAAGTAGGTTCTTTCCTTGTTGTTGTTGTTGTTACTATTTGGGTTCTAGATTTCTGGTCCAGGAATGCAAAGATAAATGAGTTTGGATTTTCCCTGATGTACCTCTACCTTCACAGGGTTCTTACAACATGGAATGCCCTCTGCCACTCCTTTCTGAAAGTCATTCTATGCTTCCTGTTCCATCAGAGCCACTATAAATGTGACTTGTAAAAACACTATTACAATATCCTTGTTTTTTCTTGGTTTAAATGATTTGCGTGTTGTAATCATTAATGGCAAATCAGTTTCACAAGATAATTAAATTCTCTAGGATGAATTCAAGATTTCACATTATTTATTAGCTGTGTCTTGTTTCCTTTAACATATGTTCATGTAGGCGTTGGCATTTAGATTTGAAGGCATTTATCACTGTGTTTGTCTCCTAAGTAATGTATTTAAGGTATTTCTTCCACTGAGACCTCCTCTTAATAGAGTTAAACTTCTATTGGAAAGAATGTTTATGCTTGTATCAGAAGCTTTGTTGATTGACATGACAGATTTTATTTCAAGATGAAGAGAGTCCTTCTCACTACATGCCCACAGGTTCTTGTTCCCCCACCAATTTAGTTATAAGATGACAATGACATACTCAAAAATGCTGAGGACTAAGGACAAATGCTGCCTGCTCAGAAGTCACTCTTACCAGGACATCTTCCTCAGATTGTCCCTGCCAATGGAGGTATTAACTTCATTGTAAGAAAACTTGCAAATAAATAAAAATATCACACACCTAAATTAACCAGACCTAAAGTTTTTACAGCTCACTGAATGTCTGCACAGTTGAGAAGTCATGCAGAAGGGAAGCTGTGGATATTTAAGTCCTCTCTTTCTGACATCACATCAACACCAGACAATGTCAGTCACAGCTACAGATGTGTTTTCCCAAGGACTCTGACCTCCTTGCACACCAGAATCTGTACACAACCATCACTAAGTTCCGCCATGCTGGCCTGTACCGCTGACATGATAAAAAAAAAAAAAAAAAAAAAAAAAAACTCCTGGCACTTAAGAAATAGTCGCCAAGCTCCCCTAGGAACTAGCCCAAAGATCATTACATAGAACTTCCTGTAACAAGGTAACGCTAGGGCTACCACTTGATAAGGCTGTCAGCTTTCACCTCCTTTATTCACTGTTTAGTTCTGTGTATTGTTTCCACTGTTTTCCCATGGTGTATGGAAGTTATCAGAGGTAAAGGTTCTGTTCTTATTCCTTTGTGTTTTTCTGCATAAGCCCTAGCCTGGTACACGTGATGAATCTTCAGCAGAAACTTAACAGACTGAGTATAGAATGAGTGGCCCCACTGAAGGCATCCAAGGAGCATGGCAGTTGTCCATGAACTCAAGGTTGTAGGGGCTCCAAGTGATGTCTGGGCGATAGAAGTAGGAATTTTCCAGCTCAGTGCTGTATTATTAGTTTGGGAAGTATGTGTGGCTTCTTTTCTGAGTCAGAAACATATTAGCAGAAGGTACTTAATTCAGGAACTGGGCATGGCCAGGTCACCAATGGGATGTTTCTAACCAGGTCTACGGTTGGCAGGCTGAGATCTACTCTCACACTGTCCATCCCCAGACACACTCCCAACCCATGTGAGAGGCAGCTCATGAGACACGTGGTTCCAGTGACTGCCTGAAGTGGGCATATGATATTGTACTCCAGGGAAAAGATGGCTTGAAGTTGAGGAGCTGGTCATCTGTGGATATATATAATTGTCTATTTTTGGTAGTGGTTTTTTTATGGTTTATTTAGCTTTATTTTATGTGCATTGGTGTGAAGGTGTCAGATCCCCCGGAACTGGGTTTTCAGACAGTTGTGAGCTGCCATGTGGGTGCTGGGAATTGAACCCGGGTCCTCTGGAAGAGCAGTCAGTGCTCTTAATCGCTGAGCCATCTCTCCAGCCCCTTGTTAGTGGTTTTAACTTTAAAATTATTTCATTTTATTTTCTGCATTTTTTGTGGGGGCAGGGGCAGGCACATGCCAGAGCTCAAGACTGGACGTCAGGCTACAACTTAGGGAAGTTGGTTCTCCCTCCATTACCACGTGGGTTCTGGGAAGTGTCCCATCTGCCCATGAGCCCATTATGACATATCATAGTCACCCCAAGTCCAGAGTTCGTATCAGGGTTCATTTTGGTGTAGTGTAGATGTGTAATAATGTATATCCACCATATGGTACTCACAGAATACTTTTACCACTGCAAAGCATCCATGCTCTGCTCATCAGCCACCCACCCTGCCACCATGCTCTTTTTCTCCTGCACCTTCCTCAGTCAAATCAAGGGTTTTAGGGACTATTTTGAGAGAAAGAGGAAAAGAAATAAAGGAGCTCTGATGTTGGTGCCTGCTTCCTGTAAAGAATGGGCTTTAAGAAACATCATTGGTGAAGATTAATTCCTTTGTCAATAAATGTCAGCAACTAATCTGGTGCCAATTGCATATGCCTGGGGAGCGAGCCCTGTGGAGGCTCAGGAAACTAAATCATCGTGGGGTGCTTTGTTTTCTACCAAGCACTGGTTAGGCCCCCACCACTGTTTTCCATTTTTAAAATTGAAAAGGAAAAAGAAATGCCAAATAGCGTTTGCGACTCCAAAGGGCAAACTGGATATGTTTTGACATATGTTGAAAATAAATTATTCTAAAGTCAGTTCACATATAGAATTATCTTTCTAGGATACACCAAACTAAAAGCAATTTTATATACTCGGTGCCTTCATCTGCCAAGTCACAGGGCAGTATCTTGCCTTTGATAGTTCTAGTCTCTGAGACTGACTCACAGCCAGGGGTGACTTTAAAAAAAAAACAAGGCAGTTAAGAGTCCTTCCTGCCTCCTCCAACTTGACTGATTTTTGTGTTGCTAGGAATTGAACCCCAGAACTCATGCGTGCTACACAAGTACTCTACTACTGAACTACACATCCGACATTGGTGTTTGATTTGTGTGTATGTGTGTGTCTGTGTTTTGTGTGCCTATATGCCTGTGTGTGTGTGTGTGTGTGTGTGTGTGTGTGTGTGTGTGTGTGGTTCTATTTTATGTTTTGAAGTGCTAGTCAAGACTCAATAAACTGGCTGTGCTGCTTAATAAACGAATCAACAGCACCCAGGGTGTAAGAAACACTGACTTGGGATGTTCTATGTCGGAGAGAGTTACAGACAGAAGCCTACAGAATGTGTGTGTGCCTGTGTTTGCTGGCCTGGACTTGGCTACCTCCAGAGCAACTCCTATAAGCCAGGCTTTGTGCTGACCTCTAACCCTGCACCTTTATGGCTTATAGGTGAGGCTCAGCTGTCACCTGAGGCAAATGTTCTTCTGAAATCACTCAGGAGACCGAGAATTTAAATGCCATCTCCCTGACTCCGAGTCCATCTTTATAACCTTCATAGAGCTACTGAAAGCCCACGGATAGCCAGCCACAGTCCTTGGGGTAAGCTGTGTCCTTTACCCCGTTAGCTTCATTCTCTTCTCCGTAGCAGTTTGCACCAATGTCTTAAGGAACTGTGTTCGGTTACGCTAACCCTCTCCTTTACCTCCATCTGGATGTTTCTTTCCTGCTTCCCTTGTCTGGCTAGCTCCCACTGTTTTTGTCTCAGCTTAAGACCCGGTCCTTGAGGACTCCCCTGACTGCCTCTGCTCAGCCCTCACCCTGGTCAGTCCCTTCCTACGTTCAAGTCACTCCGTGCTCTCATTCTTAGCACTTGTAGTATTCTCTTATTTTGCTTCTAAATCGAGATGTGTGCTGCTAAGCATGCAGCAAGTACTTTTTCAGCTGGGAGGATAAAGGGAGGTAATTTGTATAATTTGCCATTTCCGTGGTATAAATACTCCCACTACCGCCAATTTCAAGGCATGGTTTCCCCACATTGGAGTTGGGAAGATCTGAAGGCGAGAGGCTAAGCTGGCTCCAGCTTACCGTGTTGGTCTCGTCATCTCTAATGAGGGGTAGGAGTCAGAATAAGGGGGAGTCCGTGAATAAAGAGGAAAAGTAGGGAAGGAAGGGCCGGCCAAGAAAAATCTTGTGCAAAATACTGTGATAGTCAAACATATTCCTTGTTTACAGTGAGTACAGAGGTGTGGAAGAGGCAAGAGTGAAAGCTGAGTGTGTAATAAAAATAACTGCCAACGCTATTGGCTTCTCGGAGGTGATAGAATACTTCCACACATGTGGGGTCAGCTGACCGCGTCCATAAGAACAGCTGTTGTTTTGTCCACGAGGAAATCGGATCCCCCAGAGTTCAAGTGGTCTTAGCAGGGTCATCTGCTCACATCTGAGCCGGAGTCAAGGTTTCCTGAGTTCCAACCCCGCACGCTTACTACTCAGTGTGGCTTTCATATGAACATTCCTGTTCCAAGTGGAGATTGTTGATCCTGAGATTTTTCAAGAGGAAAAAAAAGAGTTCTGCAGTTTTGAGCCAAATTTGAAGCAAGATTTAAATAAATACTGACCGGGATGGACTCTGGTTAGGACCACTCCCTGGAATCACAGCAAGTGGTGATAAGAAATATGTTGTAGGGGTTTTTTATGGGCAAAACCATACAACCACCGTATTTCCCATGTTGTTTTGTTATTTCCCAAGAACTACAACTCCCAGCATTCCAGGAAGTTACCTGATCCTTTGGCAGGTGGGGCTCACAGGTTGCCGCTGGCTCTTAGAAAATGGGCCATTAATCCCTGAGACATAGTGAATGGGTATTATAAAAAGAGTTTGGCAAAGTAATGCCAAGCAAGTGACAGAGCTTTACTGGTTCTTAGAACCCTTTTTCCGTATCGGGAGGTGGCATTATGAGTCCCCGAGAGCACGGTTCATGTCTGGGTTCAGTTCAGACTAAGCTAAGTGACCATGGACAGTGGGCTTAACCCTTCTGTGCTATAGATTCCTGCTAATACAGTAATAGCAATTTTTAAAATTCCTGCCTTGAGATGGTTACAGGGTTAACTGGGATAACAGAAGTCAAGTGTCTGGAACTACACATGGCATAGAGGGAGCCCTGCTGTTTTTCTGCCCACCAATACTTCCTCTTCTTCCAGTGTTTCCTGCAAGACACTGCTACATTTTAGCATCATTTCTTTATGTAAATCCCAGAAAAAGGAAAGCTTGCCAATAATATGGTACTGTTAGTAGAGTAGGAATTGAAAGCTGCGCAGCATTGAGTCTGGGCAAATAATAGGAGCTTCTGATGAAATTTCAAGACAGTCGCCTAGAGTCAGAATGAGAGTCAATAGCCATGTGGATTATTCTCATGGCTTTAAAGGGCCTAAGATATCCCTTGCAAAATACTGCCACCAGTAAAACCTTAGAGACTTTAACCATATAGTAGAAATAGCTTACCTTAAGCCATTATCTTACCATGTTGTCTAAATAGTTATTTCTTTGTATTTTATGGCCGTATCGTTGTTCTTTGCTTTGGTTGGTAAATCCCTACTGGGCAACAACTATATTTGCTTTCTCAGACTATGATAATAGTTTTCCTATTCCTAATTTTTTTTTACAAAACTAAAGCAAAGACTGTCACTTTGTGACATGTGAAATTTATATGAAACTTAAATCTCAGTATCCCAAATTAAATTCTATTGAAATGCAGCTGTCCTCGGTTGTTTAATGTCTGTGGCTGTTTCTGTGCTACCGTGGCCTCGTAAAGTAACTGTGAGAAAGATCATACAGTATGCAAGCCGGAAAGTGTTTCCTAAAGGTTTGCGGAGTCCTGGCTGGAATACCTAAGACAGGTCCCCTCAAGAGTTAAGATGTCATTAGTAAAAGCCTCAGTGATTACACTGAGTGATTACACCAAGGCTTTCAAGGTTTTTATTGCTTCTTAAACCATGTGGGAAGTGGTGGGAACAGTGTTGATACCGTTTTTTAAAACCACAATGTGATTAAATCGCTGAAAATACTCGAGGGTTTCCGTTCAGCCTTGAAGAGAACTGTAATGGGGTTATGAAGTTAATTTTAGGTATGAAGCACAAGGAAGATTGCACCGTGTGTCTCAGAAGCACAGACGCACCACCGTTGTATAACCAGGAATAATGGTGCATGGTGCAGCTTTGGAGTTTGACTTTATGGGGTCCGTGAGACAAACTGCATTGCTAGAAGCTATATAGCCTCACTGTGGGCCATGCCCTTGCAGAACGCACCTGACATCCTCTCAAATCTTCTTCCACAGGATGCTAGTGTCCATCCTTCATTAGAAATGGGTGGCAATAGGGTCAGGATCTGATGACCACTCTGGCAAAGCAAAGGGACCCCAGTCAGTCCCGTGGTACTCTCACCTATGAACCAGCGAATAAATGACTGAAGGAATGAATACAATTTCCTGGGATCCGGGCCAAATGTGAACAATCACTCTGCCAGGATCTTGCTTCAGTGCCGCACCAGAGGAAGTGCCAGTCTGCCCAGCCTTATTCACGCTCTGCTCTTCAGGGCACCATTAGCACACACAACATGCATTTTGGCTTTGAAAACCTAAGCACAATTCTGAAAGCTGTTTCTAAACAAGTGTGAATTTTCTCACTTGTTTTTGTTAGTTTGCTGTTATTTATTCTACTTCTTTGTTGGGTGGATGGTGTCAAAACCTTCCTCAGTGGTTTAGGGAAGGCAACATTTTAAAACATGGGCTTGAACTTCTAATCTTACCTGGTATCAGAAAGCTCCTGGCGTGAGTTTGACACACATCATGCTTAAGGAGACAGAGACCTTGTTTTCCCAGGTGCTTCCTTTAGCCCCTCTCCTATAATACTTAGTAATGTCTTGTCATTCTGTAAAATTATGAAGCAAAAAAAGTTACCAAATATTAAGAGCTTATGAAGTAAACTCTGTATTTATTGAAACAGCTCAACCACAACACTTTGCCTCATTTCTGAAACAGGAAAGTAGAGTTTTGTGAACTTGTAACTCTGGATTTTCCAAAATCCACATTATTCTTCCACTTTTGAAAATCCAAGCTCCTAAGTCCCATGTAAATAAATGGGTAAGACACAGTTGCATTGCCATTGTGATAGGCTCATAGAACAAAAAGATTTCTGCTTAGCATGAAAGGTTAATTGGGGATGTCAGAGAAAAAGAGAATCAGAAAATTTTAGGAAAAAATAGACAAAGAATACAGGATATGCTGTTGAATAAGAGACTTTACACATTCAATCTTTGTTTTTCAAGGCTTTCCTATATGCAAATTCTTACTCACTACAATGTATTTGTAACACCCAAGTTAATACTCGAGGCAATTTCACAGTGTTTCACAGACATACATGGGGTGTCAAAAAGTTTGAGTCACTTTTATATACATGGTCCAGTTGAGGTCAAGCAAGGTAAATGCTGTGCCTTCTTGTCTTAGCTTTAACAGACTTTTTAAAGTGTCCTTTTGTGGTCCGATTTTTCCCCATTTTTCAGTTTTGTGCTTTGGGTTGGTGATCTCACTCTTTAAAGTGGCCTCCAAGGACTGTACTAAAGTGCTCTTGAGTGTCCCAGAGCCCAAGAAGACTAATGTCTTGTGGAGAAAATAAGTGTGACAGATGAGCTCCATTCAGCTGTGACCCACAGCGTTTGGACCATGGGTTCAACACTAATGAGTCACCGATGATTGCTAACTAACACTTCATCCCTCACAAAACAGTGTTATATGTTGGTTTGCACGTGAGCATGGTCTAGCAAGAACCTAACCCCTAGGAGCAATGGTTCACTGTCCACTAATTCAGTGTTTGTGATGATTCATGGGGAGTACCCTGGATGAATGACACGAAGCCATAACATTTGGATTTCTTTCTAGCCTCATCTCAGATTTGAGGCTCACATACTCGTAGTCCAGAAGAATCTCTGATATTAGAGTCACAACTCTTTCAAAAAGGGCTAGTGAAAATGCCTTCTAAGATACTACTGTGCTCTGCTTCATTCATTCCGCACCATGCTCCAAAAGTAATCCGAGTGGAGGGAGCTTGCCCGGCGCTCGATTACAGGAGGGGTCATGGATGAGAAGAATGTGAATGATGGGGGCAGTGCTAAAGTAGTGTGCTCTCCTCCAGACCACTCCCAGGCCTTTTGTCAGCCATGGTCACTTATGCCATGTGAGGAGCCTTCTTTTCCAATGAAAGGGCAAAAAGGTGGGGGTTATGTAGGTGACACGCTGCTGGCAACCGTACAGAAGACATGTCGAGCAGATGGCATTGCCGAGTCGTAAATAATAATCATAGTGCTTAAGTTAATCATTACCTGTTGAAATCAGCCATAGCATTAGGTTACTTTTATTGGTGAATCTGTAGTAATAGGAGCTTGTAAGTGTGCAATTATTACACAAAGTCGGGAGAAAGAAACCTCCGGCAGCCTCTGTAAGGTGAAGAAGGACAGTCATCTGTCATGTTTCTGGTACACTTTTACCCAGGAAGAAGTAGCCTTCAGCTTCTTCATCTGTTTCCAAACTGCGAGATATCAAAAGCTA